TAGTTTAAATAATTTCCCCTTTTTAATTTTGTACATAAATAATAAACAAAAACAGCTTTGAGAATAGATTTCACAAATTCAATAAAACACAGCATTTTAGTAATTCGGTTTATAAAGTTTATGTTGAATTATTTAATAATATACATAAAAATTATAATCATTACTTAGCTTCTGTTATCTTTGAATTTTGTTTCACTACTTCAACTGACCGCTGCCCTTGCAATATTTTTAAAATACAAAACACCATAACCGCAAATTACTTTACTGTTTGAGTAGGAAATATGCAATACAACACGAGCTCCGGTCGCTCGACTAATACTCTTTAGAGCTGGCAACAGTGTCTGATCTCGCGTTGATCTGTAAATATCTAAAATTTCGTATATAAGTCTTCCCCTTCCCTTTTCAGCTACGGATCTCATTTTGTTGTAAATTTATCAAAAAAATTTAAGTTCAAAAATCTTTTCCCCTCTAAGTGTGCCATAATTAACATGTTAATTATAAAGATAGTTATGAACAATATACTCCATTAATTAATTTCCTATTGGTGGATCTCGGGTTGTCCTCGATTTAATCGGATCTCGCCTTGATATGAAGACGTATATATATATATATATATATATATATATATATAGTCCCAAGATTCCTAAGAGGAACATAGGGCTTCCACAAAGTGTCTCCAGCGAACTCTATTTCTGGCTAGTGCTTTGATTTCAAGCCAGGATTTTCCCATTTTTCTCCCTTCGTCCAGTACTGTCCTTCTCCAAGTTCCCTTAGGTCTGCCTACTTTCCGTCGGCCTTGGGATTCCAATCCAGCGCTGTCCTGGCAATGTCATTTGGCGGTCTACGGAGTGTGTGGCCCAGCCATCTCCATTTTCTTCGCCTTATTTGCTTTATGACATTTTCTTGGTTGCTTTGGTTCCATAAATTTTCATTGGAGATTCGGTTAGGCCAAAATATACGAAGAATTTTTCGTAACGCTCTATTGATGAAAACTTGTAATTGGTGTACTATGGGTGCTGATATCTTCCACGTTTCGCAGCCATACAGTAATACAGCTTTTACATTTGTGTTGATTTTTAGTTTCGTTTTAGTTGGGTAAATCCTGGATTTCCATATGTTGTTAAGCATGTTGTAGGCGTTGCGAGCCTTATTTATTCTTTCATGTACATCACGCTCTGTACCCCCATTACAGTCAATTATGCTGCCCAGATATACAAATTCCGCTACTCTCTCAATTTCCTGGTCGTTGATCATAATAGGTTGGTTGTTTCTGGTACCAAATCGCATTTCTTTGGTTTTGTTGGTATTTATTTCTAGACCAACCTTCTTTGATTCTTCTTGTACTTTGTTTACTTGGAGTTGCATGTCCTGTTTTGTATGTGCTAGGAGGCATATATCATCAGCGTAATCTAGGCCTTCCAGTCTGTTTGTTAATCCCCAGTAAATTCCTCTATTAGAGTTTACCTTTGTTAGTACGGAGTCCAGTACAATGTTAAATAGTATAGGGGATAAAACACAGCCCTGCTTTACTCCGTTTAGCATAGCTATTGGGTCAGATGTTATGCCGTTGTGTAGTATTTTGCTTTCTGTGTCACTGTAGAGTTCTTTGATGAGATTTACTATTTTTTCTGGTATTCCTATTTCCTGCAGTGCTTTCCATATGGCCGTATGTGTGAGCGTGTCAAAAGCTCTCTTGAAGTCCACAAAGCACACAGAGAGAGGAGAGTTGAATTCCTGTGACTGCTCTACAATTATTCTTAGTGTGTTAATTTGGTCCACGCATGATCTGTTTGGTCTGAAACCGGCTTGTTCCTTCCTCAACATTGGTTCTACACTGTTTGTTAGTCGGTTGTTTATAATTATTGCTGTTAATTTATTTATAGTATTCAGAAGTGTGATTCCTCTCCAGTTTTCGCAATATCTTCTGTCACCCTTTTTTGGTATCTTAATTATTAATCCCGTTTTCCATTCTTTGGGGAACTTTTCCTCTCTCCAAGCCCTTTTCAAGAGTGGTTGGATTAGCTCTGCCACTGTACCTGGGCAAGCTTTTAACAACTCTGGTGGAATATTGTCAGGGCCGGCTGCTTTGTGTGCTTTCAGTTTTTCTATGGCCATTTCTATTTCTTGCGTTGTTGGTTCGTTGGTGTTAATTCTCAGTTGGATATTGGGTATGAGGTTTTCTGCGTCTTCTGGTGGTGTTGGGACTGCACTTAGAGATTCGCTAAAATATTCATGCCATCTTTTGACTTGTTCCTGTGGCGTTGTAATATCTTCACCTGTAGCACTTTTTACAATTGGTTGGTGGGTAGTATATCTTTTATTGGCTAGTTGTTAAGTGATATTATGGAGGAACTAGAAAAAAATCCATTAAATTTATTTATTTAATTAACGGATATACCATTTTTACATAAATATGACGTCAACCTTTACAAAGCTTAGGTATACATAGTTTGCGTTAATAAAAAACAAACCAAAATTATCATTACCAAAATTATCAAAATCAAACAAAATTCAATTAAAATGGTAACTTAAGGTATTAATGCTCAAAATCGCTCAAATGATTTCTTAAATGCTGCTGTAGATATTCCAAATAACTCTAAATTATTGCTGTGCTCATTAGCAGTTCGTAAAATTCTTGTAATGGGTTCATTTTGGCCATAATTCGTACTGTGGAATGGAATGTTGAAAATCTCAGTGTTACGAGTTCTTCGAGTATTAACATTAAAACTTATTAAACTTAGTAACTCTGGATCTTGAACATATCCATTTATAACTTTAAAAAGGAAACATAAATCCGCTTGACAACGTCTATCATGTAGTGATGAGATATTAAGTATTGACAGTATATCATCATATGTGTATTGCTGTCTAAGAAAACCAATTTTGTAAGCACATACCCTCAAGAATTTATTTTGAACTCTCTCGATACTGTAGATGTCACTGTTATATGAAGGAGACCAATGAGAGAACCATACTCCAAAACTGATCGAACTAAACTAAAGTATAACATTTTTAAAGTTTGTACTGAAAACTGATTACAGTTTCTAAGAATAAATCCTAACATTTTTAAAGCTTTAGCTGAAGTTTCGTTAATGTGATTTTTAAAAGTAAGTTTGGAATCAAAATTTATACCTAAATCTTTAATATTATGACGTGCCTCTAAAGGTACATTATTTATATAATAATCATAATTTACAAACTCTCTTGATCTTCCAAAAGTAATTTTAAAACATTTTTGTATATTTAAGTATAGCATGTTTACCTCACACCAACTAGCTAAGCTTTTAATGTCATTCTGTAATAAAGAGGCATCAACTAGGTCATTAACTATTCGAAATATTTTAAGGTCATCAGCAAACATTAGAAAATTACTATTTTTAATCACTGAGGATATATCATTAACAAATATATTAAATAAGAGAGGCCCAATATGCGACCCCTGAGGAACTCCTGAGGTTACAGATACTCGTTGAGTTAAACAATTTCCATATTTAACATACTGACATCTACCAGATATATAACTACCTATCCACTCAATTATTTTACCTCCAAATCCATAGCCATTTAATTTAGCAATAAGCAGATCATGGTTAACTCTATCGAAGGCTTTTGAGAAGTCTGTGTAGATAGCGTCAACCTGACCCTTCTGTTCCACTGAATTAGCTATAAAATTCGTATACAATATTAAGTTCGTGCATGTAGACTTACCCTTAGAAAAGCCATGTTGTCTAACATTAAATGCAAGCAAGTAAAAGGAGAAGCTGACGAATTAATAGTAGAGACAACAATTGAGGATAAGGGCTCAAGTTTGCCAAAAGTTATATGTAGTAGCAGAAGACATTGATGTTTTAGTTATTTTAACTGCCCGAGCTAAAGCTGATGAAGAGATTTATTTCTTGAAACTTGGAAAACAAAATGTTAACTCCGTGAGATATTCTTCTAAAGCTTAGAACTAAATTATCCATGCATAGGAGTATATATTCTATTCTCTCGATAATGCAACGGTTGCTACATTGGATGATCACATCCAGTCACACCATCACACAAAGAGTATATTTACAAACCCAGACAAGGCTTGGAACCAAAGACATGCGTCCAGTTGACTGGAGATGGTGCAAAATTGAAGAGTCTGTTTCCAACTAAAAATTCCAATCCACCTGCTCCAGAAGAACTGTTAAAAATGATTTTTTCCAACCGGAAAAAAAAAGGGGCGGCGATTCTTGCAGGCGTTGAAAAGTATGGTTATTTTGCAATGCAGTCTGCGGATCATGCAGTGGGGACAATTGCCAAAATAGCCCTCCAATTAATGAAAAAGGAGAAATTGGTGAAGAGAGCTCCGATGAAGAGTGAAAAATTAATAAAAGTACTATTAATATTTGATTAATTTATGAAACATTACTTAAATAAAAAATGAACGAACTTTTCATATATTTTAATATTTATTTTAATATGTTTTCCTATTAACTAACAAATTAAATTTTTGTAAGTCACATAAGCACTGAAAAAATTGTTCAGGAAATGTGGAAAGAATAATATTAATAAAGAATAATATATTAATAAAGTTTATTATAACCAATAAAAAGTTTCTAACTAAAGCTATTAAAGCTAATAAAAAAACATTTTCCATTATTTTTATGACAAGGGGTAGCCAAATAACTCAAACAAGAATAAATAATATGAGAACTACTTTTACAAGATTTTATTCCTCTGGCATGTTTGTTGTTTCTCATATGAACTATACCCAGTTGTGAAGTGAATTAACACCTGATTTTAACAAATTGGGTGCGAATATATTAGTTTTGCCACATTCATAGTTTTTATCAATTCATATGTTTTTTTGTGAAAGATTTTTCACATAAACGAAACTCTCCATATATCTAAGTTATGCAATATTGTGAGAAAGCTACTAAAATATGGACAAAGAACATAAACGAATTAAAAAACAGGACTTCTTACAAATTTTTAGTGTTGTACTTATCACTATATTGTAATAATCATACCTGTTAACTACGAGTGTGGTCAGTGCTTCTCCATCAACATCTTCAGCAATTATTATCAAGGGTTTTCTTTGGGCATTGGCTAATTCTAAAGCTGGAACAATGCTTTGTACAGACGAAATTTTCTTTTCACTGAGTAAAAGCAAAGCATCTTGATATTCGACTTTGGCACCTATGAATTAAAATTTATTTAAAAAGAAATAAAACTTGATTGTTTCTCCTTTACCTTTAGGTGTATTAACAAAATATGGTGAGATGTATCCTCTGTCAAACTTCATACCTTCAATAATTTCTAATTCATCATTCAGGGTTTTACCATCTTTGACAGTGATAACACCTTCCTTTCCAACTTTCTTCATAGCGTCTGCAATTAAATTTCCAACTGATTCGTCACCATTTGCGGAAATGGTGGCAACTTGACGAATTTCTTCTGGTGTGGTGACAGGTTTAGAAAGTGATTTAAGAGATTTAACGATTTCTTCAACAGCTGAGATAATACCTGAAATGAATTTAAATATTTAGTTTTCTGGTTTTACCTTAGTGATATGATCATAAAATCATTTATTTTTTGTATCATACAAAATGTGTAATCAGATCTGATTCATAAATTGGATCCATGTTATAATCATATAGAATTTATTAGGGAACAACCAAAACCAAAACAGATATTAATATGTTAGTAAATTTTTATAATTTACCTTTGCGAATTTCAACAGGATTGGCACCTTTGCCCAAGTTATCAAAACCTTCCTTTGCAATCGACCTGGCCAAGACGGTAGCTGTTGTTGTTCCATCTCCAGCTTTTTCATTTGTGTTATTAGCTACATCCTGTACTAGTCTAGCTCCAATATTCTGGAATTTGTCTTTGAGCTCTACTCCTTTAGCTACTGTAACACCATCCTTGGTAATTTTTGGTGATCCCCATGATTGCTCAATAATTACATTACGACCCTAGATATAAAAAGATAAATAAATATGCGTATTAAAAACAACTCTAATAAAATTTAGTTAAAAATTGTATGAATGGGGATGGGGTGCTCAGTAATAATGGTAATGTTTTAACATTTTTCTGGTTTGCAAAAAGCCATTTAATCTAGTTATATCAATGACATTAAGACAATTGAATATTAAATATATTGAATATTTAAACATAATACAGTGGACATACAGGTAAATTTTAAGGACATTCTTGACATTTATCACAATTAACCTTTTAAACTCTGAATCAATAAAAAATGTAAAAAATACAATACTGTGTTTTGAGAGAAAAAAAACATGTTCCCAAAATGAGAATGTTGGCATCTATAGGATACTATATAACAAAGTGAGATCATTGCAGTAAAAACATATTTTATTCCTTACATAATAACAAAACTTAAACTTAAAACTAATGTTACAAATAAACATGTTAGCAAACTGTATGATATTTAACAAAACAAAACATTTTTATGCACACTTTTCACATTTAGTACACTCTAAGTATCTGTTTCTTTGGCATACAGTTCATCACCTTTGATGTATTTCTAGAAATATAATTTATTCTATCAAATCATATATCTTTATATGCATATCTTCTGCAGTAGTATCTGGTGAATATTGTGCAGATGTTGATGCTTCCAGTCGAGTGCATTTATCAGAAACTTATGCCTTCCTGTAGATGATTTAAGTGTAGGTATAAATATAGATCTGTATTATACTTTTTTACTGTTCAACGAGATATAAATTTCTCCACAGAAACATAACTATAACTGAAAATTATTACACACACCACATGTTTTCTTCTATCAAGCTCATGACGACTAATTCAAAATGCAAGTTGTTGTACAATTATGCACAGAATAATTCTTTGAAGACAATTTTGTTTACAAACGAGTCCACTTTCACAATGCATTTCCACCTTTTCCCTGCATGGTATTCACTTATTTTAAAGCACTAATTGCCTTTAACTTTTTTTTAGATATGTCACAGTAACCCCGCAGATTTTCACACTGTGGGGTGTCTGTGACAGTGAAACATGGTAGCCCAGTCTGGTTATGCAAAAATAATTGATTTCACAACAAATTTTCGCAGATATCAGAAATGGGTGCTACTAGATGAGGAATAGATGAAAAAGTATTTGTAGTTTTACCTTGAGTTTTTTTTTAATAATAATTTATGGTCACAATTTGATTTTTTGTCTAGTTTTTTAAGTTAATAAAGATTTTCCCTTATATTTTACATAAAAAATATTTGTATCATTTTTTTTTAATCAAGAATATCTTTATTTTTCCGTTTTTTAAATTAAAATTTATAAATAATTTATGGAGATATTTGCAAAAATGCAGTTTTTTTGTACTAATTTATAAATTTTATTAATTTTTTATTAATAAAATAAAATGTTATTAATACATTTGAACATTAAGGAATTACCGTCTTTTAAATTTGTGCGAAATTTCCCCGCGATCGGTCCAATAGTATAAAAGTTATTTTATTTATTTATCCCTCAGGCTAAATATTTAAACTATTGAACTTGCCCTATTAATGATGCTAGACACATTTAGCAAATTTCATAGGATTATTTAAGACTTAAACCATTTGAAGTTTTTTACTTATAAACAATTGTAATAACTTCTAAATTTTTATAAATATAGAAGTATTTAGAAATTTTTATAAATATAGCATCCCGCCTTTTTTACACATACTAAGATATATTACCGGTAAACTATTATATAGATGACCTTTATACTATTCATAAGAATACATATTAAATGTAGGAACACAAGGACAGTATACTCTGTGATCTCTGAAGCTCTTTGGAACTGTGATGAAACTGTTTAGCAGTGATATTAGCTCAACCAGAATTGCATGCAAGGAAGGTCAGCCTGGGAAAAGATTAACTGGCAGTAGCGAATGAGAGACAACAACAGTCTTGGCATGTGGAAATGCTAAAGGGGAAATTCCACCCCCTGCAAAAATTCATAAGGGTAAGAGAATTTGGGATAGCATGTTTGGTGGTCAGGACTCATTTCCAGTGACATTATATATTATATTACATAATTGAAAAGGACTGGATGACAGAGGTGCCTTTACTTATGTGACTTAAGAAGTGTTTTTAGGTCATGTTACACAACAATCAGTTATTTTAACTTACAATGGTCATCTGTCTTATATTAGCATTTAACTATCAGAAACAGCACTAGAAAAAATAATGTCAATTTTGAAACTACCTCCCCATACTTCTCATATCATACAACCATTAGACTTTGGTGTCTTCAGAGGATTAAAAATGATGTGTGATCTACTTCTGTAGGAGTTTTCAAATGTTTTAGGACTGGCACAGAAAGCAGGCAAGCACATCATGGCTTGTAAGTGGTTTTAAGAAAACAGGTATTTATGGTTCAGATGTCTTATCAGATTAACAGATTAACCACTTAAGAAGAAAATTATCATCCTGATAAACTAAAGAGATTTAAAAAGTATATCAAATGCAAAATCCAAAAACAACCAATAATCGTCAACCACATAACCGAGAAGATAACAGAGGATGCTACTTTCCCAGTCCATCAGAAGATCAAGGGATCCCTGGTTCATCATCTATCACTCTATTAAAAGGGCATCAAATCACTGGCAAATCCTCCAGTCCATTACAAGGGTGTTATCACTGAACTTTCTGTATGCCAAGAAACACCAAGGAAAGTGTTTGAGCATATGCTTCTGAAAAATATAGTTCCAACTAGCATAAAAAAGAAAGTTAAACAAAGAATTTATACTGCAGAAATAATAACAAAAGAAGAATACATCAGATCTTTAAAGACAAAAAGGGCTGAGTCCAGTAAAGGAAAACAGAAAACCTGTCAAAAAACTGTGTGTAATAACAAAAAAGAAAAGTCAAAGAAAGATGAATCAGTTAGTGATTAGGAATAGAAGATATGTCTTTAGGAGAAAGTGACGAAGCAGAAGAGGAATTCTTGGAGGAAACTGACATTAAACCTGTAAATGAGGAAGATATTAACCAAGGCTCTTTTATGGTTGCCACTTTTATGGGTGGGAAGCGTGGTACAACTGCTTTAGGTACGTGTGTGTAATTGAAAACTTTGATGACACTAAAGATGAAATAGAAGTGGTAGGATTAAGAAGTGTTGATAAGGATAAAAAGAATTTTGTTGTTAATGAAAAAGACAGTTTATTTATTAGAATGTCTCAGATTCTAGGAATATTCATTGATCCAATATTATCCCTTAAGAATTCAGTATAATTTTAATTGAGAAGTTGATGTTGTTGAATGTTAGATGTTACTGAATTTGTAAAATAAGAAAAGGTTCTCAATAAAATACCTACGTTTAATAAATAAAATTGGTGTTACATTTTTTTCTAAAATTGTCAAATTTTTAAATGTCAAAAATTATTACAATATTTTTGTAATGTCTTTATTTGTCACAATAAGACACACTCAGTCCTAGATGCCTTTAAATAGCAAAAAAGCTAGTTGTCACACTATCCATAATCCTAGTCACAGTAACCCAATAATTAAGGGATAGTGTGACACCTTCCCCTCTTACATAAAACATAATGTAAAACAAATTTTAAAAATGTAACATGCCTATTCACTGTGCAATGATTGTGACAATTGACCAGAAAGTCTTCATTAAAAATCTGAAACTGTTCAATTAAAAACAAATATATATTTTTTAATTTTAAAATCAAATTTGTATATTTTTACGTCACACTAACCCTAGGTGAACCTATATACACAAAAGTAACATATTTGCCTTCTTGATGGCAACAGCATGGTTTATTACCACAACACAAATAATTTTTAATTCTCTAAAACTGTAATAGTTTTACACAATGAGCTGTTTGGAGTTTATGAATAAACAGAGAATATTGTTGCAGGTCACACAATAACTCCAATATAAACATAAAGGCTCTTTACACTAAAAAAAATAGATTTGCAGTTTGCCACAGCAATGGCACTAAAAAAATAGATTTGCAGATGTGACAATCACCAATCCATCTTTATTATTATAAAAATCTATGATTTATACAGAAGTTGCATTGGAAGTATCTTCATATTTTTAATCTAGTTAATTAAAGTGTTTCAGTAATTAAAAATACATAGTTTCAGTGGCAAAATATACATTTGACGGCAGCCTAGCCGCCTCATCTTGAGTCCTCACCAAACTTGTTTCATATCTTTTAAGCTTAGAGCTTTATCTTTATTGTTTTCTAGCTATAAGTTTTTATTTATACTATGAATCTATGTTTATCTAACTCTCATCATAGTCATTTACCAGAAGCTTAGTAAATAATTACCGAAGTTACAATTTAAATTACAAGTTCTGGCCTGTTTCCTTTAACTCATTTATTGCAACCTTATCATTGGCAGGATCTTTAATTAGACTAGTGTCAGCTACTTAATTTTTTTTACAGTATATCATGGAGGTCATTCTACAGTTAAAAAATAAAATAACAAATGTAAGTAATTAAAAATGATGAATATGTAACTGTTTATGACTACTGATTAACAGATTAACCTTAAAGGAAATTCAGGGTGATGATATAAATAACCTTAAAACTTTACAGATAAAAAAGAATACTGCATGTTACAAGAAAAATAAAGCAAATAAAAAATAAAGGAATGAAGGGAGAAAGGAAAGAATCACCACTTTCATTTGACCTACTGCCATTCAATTTAAAAATTTTATAGTTTATATAGGAACATTTTCATACAATATATTTATTGTAAAATGAATATCAACATGACCTTATAATATAAATTTAAGGTTAGGTTTCATACAAACCTTTGGACCCATTGTCACTGCTACTGCATCTGCAAGTACATCTACCCCTTGGAGCATCAGGGCTCTGACCTCTGATCCAAATCTTACATCTTTGGCATACCATCTTTGAATTTGAGTATTTATGTGGGCTTTGCGGAGTGCCACGGAGCGAACAGTGTTAGGTAGACGGTACATCTGTAACGTTTTAATAAAATATTTTATAATACTAGATAAAATGTTCTAAATGAATCTTATAATCAGTTATGACTGAACTTTTCAATGACATTACATTCAATTTCGGCAGAGCTAACTGGATCATTTTCTCCAAAATGTGATAGACGTGTTATTTAAAGATTGACATAAAAGAGACATTAACAGAAATATTTATTAATTAATATAAAATAAATTATATTTTCTGGTACTTCAAAACTAAAAAGCGCAGATTAAAATTATTACGAAATAGGAAAGTACTAGAAAAAGCACATGGCGGGTTAGTCAAACCCTGATATTCAGATTTATCAAAAAAACTAACTCATTGTTAAACTAATAATGGTCTCATACAATAGAAAATATTTAAGAAGTAATACCTTTATATAATAACTTGCACTTAACACTCACGTTGGAATTTCTTTCAATAAATGCCGGCGAAATCGCGGTTCCTACAAGTTCCAGCAATGTTCTAGAAAAAGGAAATTATTTATTCAGCGTTGCCATATCAATGTTTCGTCTTCTGTCTTCTCTCAACCTCAACCCGTTCAATTTTTGAATGTCAAAACACAGAGCAAAGACGTCAAGGTCCTTATAAAATAAACTTTAATTTGGGGGTAATTTTAAATAATGTAGGAAAGGAGCATTTCTAATTAATGATTTGTCCTAAATGGACATAATTAACATAAAAGCTTTGATTAGTATTTAAGTCAGTCAATAATATATTTTTAATTTGGGAGTTTCAGGTTACGCAGCTAGTGAACTTTTTATATTTTCTGTAATTGTTTTAAACCTTTTAAGAAGCTTAGAATCTACTCAAAATAAGTTTTTCTACTTGAAACTCATCGAAACTCATTTCTACTCATTGAAACATTCTCTAGGATGTAATGTCTATCTTTTCATAAGTCTTAATTTAACAAGATCTTTATAAACAATCAAAATGATAAAGAGTAGAAGTAGAATTTTATTTTAGGTTATAATTTTTTTCAATATCATCAAATTTCGTTTTCATTATGAGTATTTATAGGAAAAATGTTTTCATAGTAAATTGTTTATTTAAAGTCAGAAGACACACTGTGTTAAGAAGATGTGTACATGATTTCAAGAGTATTCCAGGACCCAAGTCATTACCGGCTATAGGCACCCTTTATCAGTATTTTCCTGTAATCGGTAAAGACTAATTAATAATATTTAAAATTACTTAACTGTTTAAAAAATAAGTATACAAATTAATAATTCGGTTAAATATGTTCTGTCATTTACAAAATGAAATCAAAAAGTAATAAGTATACTTTAATAAATTCAAATTTATGCCTAATTAGGTATTCAAATAATAGTTGTAAGGACAACAAATTTGTACAATGCAGAACTTCTGTTAAAGTAACACACTAAATTAAGTCTATTTATTTTGCTATCCTTCATTCATGTTTATAATTTTTTTATTGTCTTAGTATAAGATGACATCTACTTAAGTAACATGAATTGTACAGTAAAATAGTAGTTTTAAGTGAAACTGATTTTTATGCTCCCATTTCTACAATTTGTAAAGTAAGACTATGTATATTTTGTTTTCTTAACATTTCTAATTGCAAACAAGTTGCAGTATTCCTTGTTTATTATTTAATTTAGCCAACATGTTTCCATATTTTTCTGATGGTTGAAAAAAAAATGAATGTATATACCTAGCTGATTATTGGAAGATCTAATCCTATTTCTTCTATTTCTGTTTCACAAAATTGTGAAAATAGTTTAAAGGAATTTAACCCTCAACTGGTAGGGCGATTTAATTATCTTTTTCAGGTATGCTGGGTCAATGGTAACCCACGAATAAAAAACCTACACGATTTTAAATGCACAAGATATGTTATTTTTTAATTAGATTATTTTATTTATTAGAAAACATATAAAACAATAAAATAAATGAAAACAGATTATATACCTAATTACTATGATGAATTATCCATAAACATTGTATTTCTTGTACAGTTATATGAAAACTAACTAAATTATAATTGAAATATAAAGATAGTCCTTGATAAGTTCTCTTCCTAAAGAAATAATAAATTGTCGCCTGTCCATTGTCTAACTTGTATCTACAGCACTGTTATAAATAACATGAGAATTTACAACCATAATATGTATTTATCATTCCAAAACATATTGTCAGTGGCCAACATCTACTTCTTTGACCTACATTATAACAGGTGCCTTTTTGGTCCAAGCTGTCAATTCCTCCTTTTGTTGAATTATTAAAATTTATAATTTCAGGAAGTTTTTTTTATTATTTTTGATTGTAGCTGTGTGGTGTAGTGAAGACAGCGTTATGACAGCTGGTGGAGAGGGTAAATTTGTTACCAAAATTTCCACATTTAAGAGAGGCGTTGTTGAATACCTGATTGCTTCAAAATATTTATCAAGGACCACTAAAGCAATAAAACACTTAAAACATATTTTTCCTTCGATTTATTTGTAATGAACTTATAGGGCTGATTCAACATTGAAATTATCGCATTCTCATTAGACTAAAAAGAGTTGTACAAATATAATTAGTTTTACGTGCTAGGAGGCAGTAACAAAGATAAAGTTACAGAGAGAAATAAAACTGTTTACAGTTTAACACAAAACACCGGGTTTACAAAGCGTCTTTCACTACGCATCACGCACCTTTGGAAATCAGCAACACATTCCTTCTTCAATTACCGACAGGCAAATTTGCACTATCCTTGTCCTAAGATAAATCATTAAGGCGGGGTGAGGAGCGATTATGACAGAGAGAGGGTGACAAACACATTAATACGAGAAGTGACTATCTGAGCGCACAAGTTGGGAAGTGACACTTCAATTGAAATAACAGTTCCATCAGGCGTGCCACAAGGCTCCCATTGTGGCCCTGTTTTGTTTTGCTTGTTTCTGGTTGATTTAGTACAACAAATCAAAAATTGTAGTGTTCTTATGTTTGCTGACGATGTAAAACTGTTTAGAAAAATTCAATCCTGGAATGATGCTGTTATATTACAGGAAGATCTTAAATCGTTTTATGATTGGTGCACTTTAAACAAAATGTCACTCAATATAAACAAATGTCATAAAATGACATTCTCGAGGCAAAGAAATCCAATTACATTTGTTTACTACATAAATAACTTGCCATTCGCCTCGAAAAATGAAGTATTAGATTTGGGAATTTGGTTAGACACCAAACTGTCATTCTCAAGCCACATTAACCAAGTAACAAACAGAGCGATGAAAGTGCTGGGATTTATCCAACGCACATCTGTGGATCTGTCTTTATTTACATTTAGATTGGATCAGTTGTATGGTCCCCATCATACCACTGTTACATTCAACAGATTGAAAGAGTCCAGAATAAATTTTTGAGGGTAGCAGCCTATAAGAGTGGATAGAGGAGAGAGGAATACAACTATCAGTGGGTAAGAGATAGTCTTAACTTACCAACACTTGAGTCAAGGAGGACATTGTTAGATTTATGTTTCTTACACAAAGTTATCAATGCTTTTATAGATGAACTCTTATCGCTTGTTAGTCTTAAAGTTCCTAGTAGAAGCAACAGACAATCAGAAATCTTTTCGGTGCCATTTCACCACACTAATTATGGTATCAATGAACCAACTACACGATTGGTCCGGAGTGCTAATAGCTTGCCAAGAAAAATAGATATTTTTGACTCCAAAATTAGTTTGTTTAAAAAAACAACTTACAATAAGTTGGTTGTACATCTGTATTATTCTTATAAGTTTTTACAACAACAGCTTTACGCTTTTTAGGCTCATATGATAGGAGTGTTAGATTGTTTGTACATCCAAAAATTGTTGACAAAGCGGGGCTGTCTTTATAAGGCAAAAATTCAGGGGGAATTTCTTTTTTGTTTTTTTCGCAATGTTTCTGTATACGTCAGCCCACATTTTTTTAATTCATTTGCCAATTCAACTAATGAAAACCAGTTATTCCATTCTGGATTCGTTCATTTCTTGTGACACTATTATCAAATCACAACGCAGCGCATAAGAAACAAAAATGTTTTAGCATCTTAGTGGCGCGAAAAATGTTAGATCTGTCGCCCATAACGAACTTACATCATATATACGATACTTACATAACGAATTTTAATATCAGAAATAAATTGGAGTTTAAGAGCAGAAAAGCAAATATGTAAGTACAAAAAAGTCACCCTACTTATAGAGCACAAGTTTGAACATTCATGTTATCCAGCACACACATATAGAATCAATATGCTGAAGAGTAATATTTGTGTGATTTGTAACAAAAGAAGTGACATAGACTGCATTCTCTTTGATTACTCAAAATACAAAGCTTAATTCAATGAACTGTACAAAAAATTTCTACTATTATATGAAAGTGCATATAACATAATGCATATGATCATTAAAAAATCTATTGGTGTTTATCTGTTATCAACACAATAGGAATTTGAATATAAGTATTTATTTTTTCATTTATTTTATATTTTCCTTTGTGTGTATACCTATTGTCCATATGATGTCTCTTGTAATGCTATTTTATTACAATAGTTATTTACAAAAATTACATAGCTTTTCTCTTGCATTTTTAAATTTTGATCTAATTTATATCTCATCCAGTAGGTGGTGACAATGTAGATATATGCGATGATTTCTACCCAGTTTTCTATGTAATGCACTTTGTGTAGCTTTGTAGGGGATGAGTATCCAGTAATAGTGTTAATTTGATCTTACCGTCTTATTGTGCAATTTCATGTAACTAGGTGTTTTATCTGCAATGTTTGACTAGGGAGCTGGTTTCGAAAATTTTTTATGCTACCTCTATTTTAAGTCCCTAAAATTTGGGTTTTAGTTTAGTTTAAAGTAATAAAGATATAAGTGCCAAAGATTCAGGTATCTATTATCTTGCCTACCGACTAAAGCCACCCTTTTGTGTGCAGTTGACTGTCGCACATACTCCGAAAGTGGGATGGCCGCTGTGAGACTATTTTTCAAACAGTCCCTTCTCTTCTCTAGATCTTATCTATTGTTCTGAAGCTATTTTCTTGTGGCATTTTAAAGATATTTCAAGTTCATGGGAATAAGCTACAATCGAAGGTTAAAATAAGTTTATTGACATTTGACATTAATATTTGTAAGGTAAGTGAGCCAAATATTGCCACCTTACCGTTTGGTTCTAAATAAATTCTTCTTCTTCAAGTGCCGTCTTCGTTCCGAAGTTTGGCTATCATCAAAGCTATGCGTATTTTTGATGCTGCAGATCTAAACAGTTGGTAATTGGTGCAATTGTACCATTCTCTCAAGTTTTTCAACCATGAATGCCTTCTTCTTCCTATAGATCTCTTTCCCATTATCTTTCCCTGTATAATCAATTGCAGCAACTGGTATTTATCTCCCCTCATAACATGTCCCAAATATTGTAGTTTGCGCTTTTTAACAGTAAGTATCAGCTCTTTCTCTTTCCGCACTCTCCGCAAAACCTCCACATTTGTTACTTTCTCTGTCCAGGGTATTCTTAATATTCTACGATACATCCACAACTCAAATGCTTCTATCTTTTTGGTATCGATCGTTTTCAATGTCCATGTTTCCATCCCGTAGAGGAGAACTGACATAACGTAACATCTCAAAAGGCGAATTTTTAAGTTTTAGACTTAGATCTCTTCCGCAGAACACCTTTTTCAATTTAGTAAATGTGGCTCTAGCTTTCTCTATTCTGGTTCTGATTTCTTCAGAGCAATCATTATTTTCGTTGATAACAGTTCCCAGGTAATTATATCTTCTTACACGTTCGATTCTTTGATCATGCACGGTTATGTTAGGGAAGTTTTGTGGTGATTTAGATATTAGCATTATTTTTGTTTTGCTTATGTTAAGTGATAATCCGTGTTCTTCACTGCATTCTACTATTTTGTTAATTAGTATTTGAAGATCTTCCCAAGTTTCTGCGATTAGTACCGTGTCATCGGCATATCTCAAGTTGTTTATTCGGATGCCATTTATCTTAATACCTATATTTTGATCCGAAAGTGCTGTGTTTATAATGTCTTCGGAGTATAGATTGAATAAGGTCGGTGAGAGTATACAACCCTGTCTTACGCCTTTCTTGATCTCGATTTCCTCCGTTGTCTCTTGCTCTATTCGGATATTTGCTTTCTGGTTATAGTAACCGAAAATCCGAATTGAGTATTACTAATATCTGCATCTAGTTTTCTGTTAATTCTTGAGTGGATTACTTTGATGAATACTTTTAATGTATGCCCCATTAAGCTTATAGTGCGGTAGTCAGTGCACTGTTTTGCATTTGCCTTTTAATAAATTATACACTTTTATTAATAAATGGAAACAAATTTGAGTAGTAGTAAAGAAATGTGTTTTCTTTAACAATATATTTTAATTATATCAAAAAACTAAATAAAGAATACTTTTTTATTGACGTTGTGAATGGCAATATTAGGATTATAGATCTCCTATTATTGCCACCCATTTCAATATTATTGAAACTGTATAACTACAGTTAACAGTAACACATTTTTCTACAAAAATAAATGGAAATTAAATAATAAAAATGTAACAAACATTTCTGAAAAATTATAACTTAAAAACAGTCAGGGCAAGTAAACTTTTCTTTGTCATCTTTAGTTGGTCCTACACAGGCCTTGTTAATATAATGATAGTACACTATCATCATCATCATCCAGCCGAATTTTCACATCCATTGTTGGATATAGGCCTCCTCCAAACGTCTCCAGTTCTCTATCTCTAGCTGCTGCAATCCAGTTTGTTTCTATCCTCCTTAGGTCGTCGGTCCATCGGGTGGGTGGTCTGCCTCGACTTCGCTTGTCGGCTCTTGGTCTCCACTCCAATAATCTCTTCGTCCATCTTCCGTCTTTCATTCTAGCAACATGTCCAGCCCACCTCCACTTTTGTTTATTGATTCGCAGTATAATATCGTCTACGTTAGTTCGTCGGCGTATCTCCTCATTTCTTACGCGATCTTTCAAGGTCAGGTCCAGCATTGATCTCTCCATTCGCCTTTGTGTTACCCTCAGTTTTTCGGCAGTAGCTTTCGTTAAAGTTAAGGTCTCTGCTCCGTAGCTCAAGACTGGTAAGATGCATTGGTTAAATGCCTTCCTTTTCAGGTGAATTGGGATATTTGTTTTAAAAATGTCTCTCATCCGTCCATATGCCGCCCATCCCAACATGATTCGTCTATTTAGCTCTCAGGTTTGGTTGTCTCTGGTTATTCTAATTTCATGACCCAAGTATGTGTATTTATCGATTAATTCTACGTTGTTGTTATTGATCTGTATCTCTTCGCTGGGAACCATATTGGTTATCATTTTGGTTTTCTCGAAATTTATCTCCAGCCCAGTTTCTTGTAGTATGTCATTCAGTTCTTGGAGCATGTCTTTGATCTCTCCCAGATTATCTGACAGAAGCACGATATCGTCCGAAAAACGTAGATGGTTTAATCTTTCTCCATCGATGGATATTTCTTTCTGTTGCCATGTTAGTTTTTTAAATGCATACTCAAGAACGGTAATGAACAGTTTTGGTGACATGGTATCACCTTGCCTGACTCCCCTTTTCCCCTAAACTATGTACAAGCACATATCCTCTTTACTGCAGATGTTACAAAGAAAACAATACCATTATTCTTCATTACTTGATTTTTTTTGTCATATTGCTTGTTAGTGGTGGGCTTCATGGTTCCTTGGATCTAGTTCCTAAAAAGGAACTAGTTCCTGGAACGATTATCATACGGTTCCTCGAAACTATTTTAGTCTTAGTTCATCGGCTCGGAACTAGTTCGTTTTTCGTTTTCGTCGATCGAAGAAATACTTAGAGATGCAGTTCGCACAAAATGACGGTATCAAATATCAGATCAGCAATGACGTTAATAGTTCATCGGAACTAGTTCCATTTAATTTTCAGAACTATTTCATTTATAATGTAAAATGAACTAGTTCCAGGAACTAGTTCGTTCCAGAACTACCCACCACCATGGTGCATAATGCTATGATTTTATTTTCTTTGCGAGGGTCATAATTCTTCGTATCCTTGAACTCGATGAACTTTGCATGTTATGAAACCAGCCTGTTTGCTGCAACAAAAATAATAAAAACAAGGAAGGATGACATAGTCATAAACAAAAAAATAACAGTCAATAATTCTAAAAAGCGTCATAATTAAAAAAGAAACGTCAGTTGATTTGAAAATCGTATGTGCCGGTTCTGCACATACGATGCAGTCATATTCCAAAAATAGTTTGAAAACATATACTTACATATTAAAAAAAAAACTGGTTAAACTCAAAATGTAAAAATGTAATACTCTTCCGCATCATGCAAAAGTACTTTCCTCTTTTACAACTTCGAAAAAACTTTCACAACACAAAAAAACCGGAATTTTACTTATTGCAATAATCAGAACTAATAATTCACACAAAAACTGTTACAATTCTAAATGTGACTCTTTTCAGGATTAAGCACTACGTGTAGACTGTTATAAAGTCAAAGGTGACACTGTAGCGGAATACTTGCTGAGCTAACCTGTAAAAAACAAAATTGTCACATCGCCATCTCGCGGTAAATAGTTCAAATATAAGAGTGACGATTTTATGAAAGAAAGTACGACTTATTTTAGTACTTGTAGCACGGTCATTTCAATAATAGCGATTTTTGAGTTGTGACTCTTTTTAGCGGAAGTGCGATGTATAAAAATCATGGTAGTCTTGGCAGTATGCAAAACCAATTAGTGTTCCACTAGCAATATTTCATCAATAATGATGACTGTATGAATGAATATATGAGGTATTACTTGTCAAAGCTATGCACGACTATGTTTTACCCAGCTGCGCAGAGAGCAGAGAGAGAAAGTATTTGGGGAGAAAGAAATGGATGAACGCCGGGACACTACCTGATATTTAAACGTATTTTACAGCTCGAGCTTACTTGTCTTACTAAGATAATTTCGGGTAATTTCACTATCTGGTACAACTCTGAAGAGAATATTATATGAAATTTGATAAGGTTGATAATAACAGCTGCAGTGGTTAATTATTTAAAACTTCTTCATATTTTGTTTATCAGATTTCTTGTGTTTTAGGAAATTATCGCTTTGACGAATTACCTTTGAATGGTCTTAAAAAATATAATAAGTATGGACCTATCGTCAGGGAAGAAATCGTGCCAGGAGTCAATGTTGTATGGTTATTCGATCCAAAGGATATTGAAACGTTGTTTAGACAGGAAGGAAAATACCCACAGCGAAGGAGTCACTTAGCATTGGAGAAATTTCGCTTGGACAGACCAAATGTGTACAATTCTGGAGGATTATTACCCACGTAAGATACATTTTTAAGATTTCAACAATTTTTTCTTCCAATCTGCTCAAATTTGTTTTTCAAAATGGTTCCAGCTAGAGTGGTTCTATTTGCGAGTAAATTTTAAGCTAATACGAGAGACGTAAAACATTTGTCCAGGGTTGTGTTTCCTCACGCGTCTTTCACGAAATGCTAGCAATATTTCACCAAAATGATGACTGTATAAATGAATAAATGAGGTATTATTTGTCAAGGCTAGAAACGACTTTCGAAAATTTACACATCTGCTAAGAGAACAGAAAGAGAAAGCATTCGGGGAGAAAAAAAATGAATGAACGCCGGGACTCTACCTGATATTTAAACGTACTTTACAGCTCGAGCTTACTTCTCTTACTAAGATAATTTCGGGTAATTTCACTGGACATATAATGGGCGTTCCGATGGTAGGATTTTCAAAGTCGTTCCTAGATTTGACAAACTGTACTCACCTTCTTTTTATTGCGTCGCCCCTCTTTTAAAGTTGCCGATACAATTGCCTACAGCAACGCGCTAAATAACGGCTCTGAAGATGTCGGTCGATATTCTTCCGAGAAAACGTCGCAGAACGTTGAACCAAGAATTTTTTCTTCTTTCTATTGACCTTTTCCCTTAAATGCTTCCATTAATGATTAACCGAAGTATTTCATCGTTGGCATCACTTCCTTGTTCTTCTGCATTTTGTTAAGAACTTCGGTGTTTATTGTTCTTTTGGTCCAGGGAATAAGTAGTAATTTCCTATTAAGATGCAATTCAAAAGCTTCGATTCCTTTTTCTAGTAACGGGTTAAGAGTCCAGCTCTCACAGCTGTAGAGAAGAATTGGAAATACATAACAGCGCAGCATTTTTTTTCTAAGACCCTACAAAAAATGGTCAATTATGAACTCTTTGAAATACATATTAATAAGTCCTCAAGGGTCTGAATGAAGATCCTGAAAAGGAATTAGTTGCGTAAACCTTCGAACTTTGGATCCCGAGTCCAAACAAATCAAACTCGATAATTACTCCAGTCGTCAGACACGAAACTGCCACTGAACCTGTAAAAATCATACGAGCAAGCTGCATTTTGCTGAGAATATCAATTTTGGGACCACAAAAAATATGTGTCAAAAAGTTTACTACTCCTACCGTAGGTAAGGGGAAAAAGCGGAAAATATCGATTCACCAAGGTTCTGTATGTCCTATGTATAGAACAAAATGTTTTAAATACAAAATGTAGCTGAGATAATTTTGAACGGAAATGTTTGGTAAAACTTTTTCTCTAGAATGAACCGTTCTCTCAGAAGTAACGCTTGAAGCGACCGACAATTTTGAATGTCAGTTACGCGCACGAAATCAATTTTAAACAAAACTTGTACCAACTTGACGGTAAAAATTCTATATTTTTTGATCAGAGTGTCCTATCGACAAAAATCACAATTCTGTGACCGTCGACTTTTATATCTAAATGCGCATTTTTATAATAAACATCTTGTACATTTTTATATTTTTAAAGTTCCTTAACATCTCAACGAACTATATCATGTTGGATCTATTATCAATAATACAGGGTGAACATACACTTATGGAATAAAATTGTTTGTGTCATATTTCAGAAACAACCTGAGTTTAACAAACTATATTATGCAGGGTCTATTATGAGTAATATAAGGTGAAATTTTGAAATTATATGTATAATTTTTCTTCAAGAAACTAAATACAAAACCCAATATATTGATACTTAGTTTAAAAACTGGATGCCTGTATTGTATCGTGGGTTGTATTGGTGTTATTTATTAATTTAACAAAATACATAATGAGCAAAAATCTTATTTAAAACATGCGAACAGTTTTTGCAATTACAATCAATGCAGGGTTTATGCTTCTTTAGCATTGGCTGTTAAATAATTTGTGTTCGATTGTTTGTCTGTTGTACAACCTTTGTCATTTTAGGGTATAGTAGTTGTATATAAGTACTTATTTTTTATAGTAGTGTAGTGAAGCGGTACTTTAAAGCAAAATGAGTAATTTAAAATATATATATATATATATATATATATATATATATATATATATATAGTTATATATATATATATAATATATATATATATATATATATATATATATATATATATATATAAATCACTAGAATAAATAAAGGCAGAATAATGGCAAAATTGTATTAGACATACGGAAGACATAATCGTTCAGTGTTTTCAAACCGAGCGAGTTATAGATGATGTCTGGCCTCTAATTATTCTCTCTGATAGTGAAATATCAGACAGTGAATAGGAAAAATCGTTTGCTAAAAAGAAGTAACAAATAAAGAGTTTCGGGAATTCAATTCAGACTTTGTGATGTGTTTTAGTTAAATGATAAAGTACCTTTGGTCTAATTACTGGACTGCATACTCTCAATAGCTTGGTATTAATTACTGGACCACACGTGTTTAAACATTTTGTTTTGCTGAAAACTCGGAAGTGATTTAGTGCCAATTTGTTTCAAAGTTATATTTAAAACCGTGTCTGCAGAAAGTAAAGTTTTGGATCCATTTTATTCAAATTTGGACATACCAGCAACTTGGCAAGTATTTTCCAATTTAACTGCATGCAAAGCCATTCGTGTAATTTTCACTATACGCAAAATAGAGACTTATAGAGACCTTGATAAACATTTGATGTCGACAAATAATTTCGAGTATTCGAAATATTCCGCCCCACTCATTTTAACACGCCCTGTATATACATATTATATTCATTTATTTGCGCCATACAGTAAAATCCAATATTATTATTAAACATAATAAAATACAGGAAATTAAATATTTTTAAATTATGTTTCTTTTACCTATTTAAATATTTTTAATTTTCAAGCGATCGGAATTAAATATTAACGCCCCACTGTTTGAGGCCCATTGATTATATCTTAATTACATATCGGCCGTTATAGGGTAAAAGGAATATAGCTACGGAAAGCTCGAAACTGAAGTAGAAGATCAAGTTAATAGAGCAAACAGAGCCGCAGGCTGCTTAGATGAAACAATATGGCGAAATAAAAATATCGGGAAAGAAATGAAAGGCAGAATTTACAAAATAGTCCTCAGACCAATAATGACATACGCGGCAAAACAAGACCTGACACAGAGAGGACAAGGAAAAGGATATTAGAAACAGCAGAGATGAAAAGACTTAGAAAAATTGATGATAAGACACTACGGGACAGAGCTAGAAGTACAGATATACGACGTAGATGCAAGGTGGAGAACATCAAGAACTGGTTAAGAAATAGGAGAGTAGAATGGAACGATCGTGTAAGCCGAATGACAAGAAATAAAGTAGTAAAAACCCCATCGTCTTCCTATTGGTTCCCCAATAGGAAGACGATCAGTAGGAAGACCACGAAAACGATGGAACGACAACTTATTGGAGGCACATTGAAAAATAGACAGTCATGTCTATATAAAAAGAAGAAGAAGAAGAAGAAACAAATATTCCTTTTACAACAGCTATGCTCTACTCATTTCATTAGTCGATAAACTCAAAAGGGTGGTCATAAACTTTTTTATCTTGCATTTAATATTCTATTATGTTAACGATTCTACTGACTTGACTACTGTTGTATATTTAAGAATTAAGTTTCATGTTTAGAGTAGAATCTAAGTTGTATTTTAGACATTACTGTTTGTGTTAGTCTGTATGCAGCTTAAGATCATGAACTTTAGTGTGTAGACAGCTTAAGCTGACAGCTGACAGAGAACAAATATGACCTCTCAATTATTGTTGAACCGTATTGTCAAAACAAAACTGCCGATTTCTTCTGAAAATTTAATATCTAATATTGTTGATCCACAAGTAGTTTCAGAAAAATTAAAAGCAAATTCACACAAAAAATGAAAGATCACTATGATAAAACAGCTAAAAACTTACCTACTCTTCAGAAAGGCAAAAAATGTGTTATTCCGGAAGAATAATTCATGTCAAAAAGGTAAAGTAGTTGATAGGTATAATGAGAGGTCATATTTGTTAGTTGATACAAAAGGCCAACAATTCAGAAGAAATCGAAAGTTATTAAATAAAACCAACCTGCCAGTTACAGTTTCTGAGTCTTATTTTTCAAATTTATTATATGATGATGCTCCTAGTTCTAGTTTGATGTGCCATGTTGAAAATAATGAGACTGTAAATATGTCATCTGAGATGGAATCTGCTGATGAATTAGAAAACACAGTCATAGAAACACAAAATACCTCAACTGAAACAGCACAGAACGAGGACTTTCAAAGATAATGCTAATTGCTGTGACAATCCTGTTGGTAATAATGAGGAACAGCCGTCCATCTCAGGTAACATACATCAAGTAACTGAGAGTAACATAGAGCTGGTGTTTGAGAGTGACTCAGAAACTGATAAAAATAGTGAAATAAACGAATACCCTTCCGACAGACGTAAAACTAAAAAACCAAATTATCTTAAGGACTTTTCTTGTATTAATGTTTTTGTTAAAAAAAAAAGCGTGTTGTATATTTAAGAATTAAGTTTTATGTTTAGAGTAGAATCAAGTTGTATTTTAGACATTACTGTTTGTGTTAGTCTGTATGCAGCTTAAGATCATGAACTAGACACATGTCTAGTGTGTAGACAGCTTAAGCTGACAGCTGACAGAGAACAATGATGGCCGCTAGTTAGAGCCCGTAATGTAAGTTATATGTTTAAAAAAAAAAGAAAATAAAGTTCTCCAGAATAGTTATTTTTATAATATCCACCACCAACGAAATAAAACAACTACTACGTGAGTAGTTTCTTCTAAATTGATACTGATTAGTATCAGTTGTTATTTTGTTAGCGATTTCAAATTTTAGTTTCAGATATCGAGACTTAACGATAAAAATATAGCGTGGCAACACTGCGTTCAAGGTTAAATGTGATCAATATTCCATTTATACATTGCATACAGAACAGACATATAGCACAAAGTTTTTATTTTTAATATTTAAAATTAACTTTATA